AAGGCATGTTTATAAACTCCTACCTCTGTCTCTTATACACATCTAGATGTGTTTCTGGCGCCACCCCTGCACATGTCACCATTTAGCTATCGTCTCTGCTGGTATCATATCAAAATACACAAATTATTGGAAATATAAATATAGTTTTGATAAAAATAAACGTACAGTAGGCCTATAAATTTTGGTTTATTGCCGTTTTGACTTAGGCCTATTGCCGTTTTGGTCTTGCCGTTTTTGACCAACCATGATGGGAATTGGAACAGAGGAGGATGAGAGGATGCCAAACTGATGCAAAATTACTCGAATTCATGTGTAGTTTTAATAGGGTTTTAATTTTGTGGGCTGCTCGTGCTGCACTTAGCCCACCTGTAGACTCACACATCTCTAAAAGTCTCTCCTAACCCCTCCCTACCATAAATCCTGGATCCGCCACTGAATATATGTACTATATACTGTACTGGAAGATTTATATTGATGTACATTCTTCACTGCCTTTTGGACCTTTTCCAATGTGTGGGAGTGTTTTCGAAATGCTACTGGATACATTGATTGTAGTAGGCCTAATATACACAAACCACATAGCGCTCAGAGACCATGGGAGCTGTGATAATTGTCGAAAGATTTTTGTATGTACAGTACTCTACAACAAGGTTGTTTTCATCCTGAAATTTCTATAAAGTAATCCACAAATGATCATGTAGTCACCAAATGCCTGACCGACCATCACTGACATCAGGCTTTCATGGCTGCTTTTGTGATTGTGAACAACCAGAAGGCAAACAAAGAAGAAAGCTTTTATTGGCGCTTTTTTTAAAGACAGTGTCATTACATTTTACGATGCTGATTGGCTACGTCTACCGTGCGAATAATGTATTATTTACTATTTGCACGGTAGACAATGTTTGTTTAGGTTCTATTTGAAAAGGTATTTCGGTTCAATTAGGTATTCTTGTAACAAATTAAGTAAGTATCTCGTAAAATATTTAGGTCATTGAACCTTTTGAGACGATACCGTGTTAAATATAGTTAGGCCTAATTCACGATGTAACGTGCGAATTGGGAATAAGAACTTATTCGCACGGTATGACAGCCGTTACGTCATGAAACCTTAAATGCTGATTGGTTAGGTCTACCGTGCGAATAAGACTCATAAGAGCTTATTTGCACGGTCTACCATGCGAATAACCACTTTTGTATTATTAATTATATTATGTTTTATTATAGGCCTAGGCCTAACATATTATTTATTTTAATAAACTTACTTTTGTCGAATCCGGTGATGATACACATTCCTCCCGGGAAGGCGATGAATCACTGTCATCATCGCTAATAATGATAGCAGGCCCAGGAATAATAAAAGGCCTAGGAACAGACTTGGGTCTAGCTCGTTTCTTCTCACCGATCCTAAAGTTAGGCCTGTTTGGTAGCCTAGGCCTAGCTACTCCACACGGCGTCTGTGGCGAATCGCTTATATACAATGGCGTATCATCACTATCATCATCATTTTCTTCTGAGTCAGAACTAATTAGAATAGGGCCTATACTATAACTGTCCATCATTAATCCTTTAGAGAAAATAAAATAACGCCCGTAATTAACCCATGCCTAGTATTTTCACGAACGATGCTTACTGAGAAACCACACAAATAACATTTTACAAATAATCAACAAATCTCGAGAAAAAAAACTCGAGCGGATGGCAATTCGAGCAGAGTTACTAGCATAGTTACTAGCAAAGATACTAGAAATACAAGATAGAGTTCTCGCATTGTAAAAATGAGGCGGAAGTTGTGCCCAACGTATGCGGCGCCCTTCTTTTTAACCACGCAAGTTTCCTATACTTCGTGCCCAACGTACAGGGCGCCCTTCTGTTGCTAAGTATATCCAGACGCAAAAGGCGCCCTTCCTTTTCCACTAATGGAGGAAAACTTTTTCACTAAGAGTGCGTCCGGTCATGCTATTCTGCGCTGTATTGTTGTTTTATTCTTTACTGATTCATGATTATGCTTTAATTGTTTTGTGTATTATTTGGATAATAGCAACGATTTCTACCGCCACCAAGGAGGTTATGTATTCACCGA